TTCAAGATCAATAATTGCAATTTCAGGACAAGCTGTATACAGATTAATGTATCAGACTGTGAATTATTATTGCGATACTGACCAAGTCAGAGTATTGTGCATCATTCATAAAAACCTCACAATAATTTCTGAATTTACAGTAATTTGCCTGAATGTAATTTTGTTTAAAAAATGTACATTTGTCAGAACTGTTAATAGAAAAAGATTTTGATATTTTTATTTGCCTCACACTATGTCTTCCCTGTTTCCATTAAAAGTTGATTTTGTAAATTATTTTTGGTTTTAATGAAAATAAATACTTGCTAAAAAGTTTTATTTTGTATTTATAGTTGGGCAAACTTACAGTTGCTGTGTTACAGGAAGTATGTAAGAAACAAGGAATCACTCCAGCAAGTAAAAAGAAGGCTGATCTAATTGAAGCTATTAATGATCATTTTGGTGTTTGATAGGTCAAGGGAAGAAACTCTATTGTATGGCAGCGTTATTAATAAGACCAAAAATTTTAATCTGTAAAATGACAAACTGTACATTAGAAGGAATTTTACTTTGTAATTTTAATCCACAAATCATCTTTGAAAGCAGCTCTTTCAAAACAAGTCCATTACTGAATGAAAAGATTGTATTGAGATATATGTCAAACAGATTATGAAAATTTATCTTGAAAATGTAAAATTTCAGCTGTAGTTGTTTTCTATTAGATTATGTATTGAGGCTATTTTTTGTTAGAAATATAGAGACAAGTTACTGCAACATTGATGATGCTAAAATGTAGTTAAGTATTGTGAATGATTAGTAAAGGTAAATATTTGTAGTTGTTGTTATTTGATAAAATATGGTAGAAATTTCATTGTTTTTTTAGCTCACTTTATTGAATTAACCTTCAAATGGTATTTTCAAAGATGAAGGTTAGGTCATCAAAATATAAAATAGTCAGAGCAAGACCTTTAATAAAGTGCATAAAATAGCATAAAAAAACAATCCAGCAACATTCAAAATTATTCAAGGGAGTTTTAGCCTCAGATATATTCTCTCCCCCTTTTCACTGCCTTAGTTTTAAGTGCTTGTGTACTGACCTGATTTATAACATATTTTTTGTCGAGCCTGCGACTTTTGTCGCAGAAAGCTCGACATAGGGATAGTGATCCAGCGGCGGGGGCGGCGGCGTTAGCTAACTTCTTAAAAGCTTTATATTTTAGAAGGTGGAAGACCTGGATGCTTCATACTTTGTATATAGATGCCTCATGTTACGAAGTTTCCGTCAGTCTCATGTCCAATGTCCTTGACCTCATTTTCATGGTTCAGTAACTACTTGAAAAAAAAGTTCAGATTTTTTGGAATGTTAAATTCTCTCTTACTATAAGTAATAGGATAACTATATTTGGTATGTGCTTACCTTGCAAGGTCCTCATGCCTGTCAGACAGTTTTCACTTGACCTCGACCTCATTTCATGGATCAGTGAACAAGGTTAAGTTTTCTAGTCAAGTCCATATCTGAGATACTATAAGCAATAGGTCTACTATATTTGGTGTATGTAATGATAGTAAGGTGTACATGTCCAACTGGCAGGTGTCATCTGACCTTGACCTCATTTTCATGGTTCAGTGGTCATAGTTTAGTTTTTGTGTTTTGGTCCGTTTTTCTAATACTGTATTCAATAGGTCAACTGTATTTGGTGTATGGAAATATTTTACGATGTTCATGTCAGTCTGGCAAGTTTTATTTGACCTTGACCTCATTTTCATGGTTCATTGCTCAATGTTCAAGTTTTCGTGTTTTGGTCTGTTTTTCTAATACTGTATGCAGTAGGTCATCTATATTTGGTGTATGGAAATATTTTACGATGTACATGTCAGTCTGGCATGTTTTATTTGACCTTGACCTCATTTTCAAGGTTCATTGCTAAATGTTAAGTTTTTGTGTTTTGGTCTGTTTTCCTAATACTGTATGCAGTAGGTCAACTATATTTGGTGTATGGAAATATTTAATGATGTACATGTCAGGCTGGCAGGTTTTATTTGACCTTGACCTCATTTTCATGGTTCATTGCTTATGTTAAGTTTTTGTGTTTTGGTCTGTTTTTCTTACACTTTAAGCAATAGTTCAACTATATTTGGTGTATAGAATGATTGTAAGGTGTATATGTCTGTCTGGCAGGTATCATCTGACCTTCACCTCATTTTCATGGTTGATTGGTCAATGTCCAGTTTTCCTGGTTAACTTTTTTTCTTAGATACCTTAAGCAATAGGTCAACTATATTTGTAATGATTTTAATGTGTACATGTCTGTCTGGCAGGGTTCAAATGACCTTGACTTCATTTTCATGGTTCATTGGTCAATATAGAATTTCCATGGTTTGGTCTGTTTCTTTTATACTATAAGCAATAGGTCATCTATATTCTGTGTATGGAGGGATTGTATAAAGGTGTACATGTATTTCTGGCTTGGTTTATCTGACCTTGACCTCATTTTCTTGGATCATAAATGTTAATGTGATACTTGTAGTAAAACTTTATATGTAGGACTATCAACATAAAATCAATGGTCAGTATAGTAGGCGAGACATTTCAGCGTGTGCACTCTTGTCTTAATTCTCTGTTAAATTATTTGACATTAATAAGAAATTAAGGTTCCAACTACCTAACGCAAAGTTGACCTTAGATGCATTTGGCTATTCTTTTTCGTTCCATTTTTGTCATAAAATTATAGCTAACTTCTTAAAAGCTTGTCATAAAATTATAGCTCCTGACATAATCTTGGCTTTCAACATTTTTGGATCTTAGCGTTTCTGATGAAGGTACATCCACAACAGCACTTTGTACATACAAATTTATAAAGTGTTTTTTAATTAAGTGTAAGATGGCTCGTTTTTGTCAAGCCTGCGATTTTTATCAGAAAGCTCGACATAGGGATAGTGATCCGGCGGCGACTAAGGCGGCGGCGGTGTTAGCTAACTTCTTAAAAGCTTTTATATTTTAGAAGCTAGAAGACCTGGATGCTTCATACTTTGTATATAGATGCCTTATGTTAAGAAGTTTCTGTTTGTCATATGTCCATTGTCCTTGACCTCATTTTCATGGTTCAGTGACTACTTGAAAAAAAGTCAACACTTTTTGTAATGTTAATTTCTTTCTTATGAGTAATAGGATAATTATATTTAGTATGTGCATACCTTGCTAGGTCCTCATGCCCTTCAAACAATTTTTATTTGACCTTGACCTCATTTCATGGATCAGTGAACAAGGTTAAGTTTTCATGGTCGTCCATATCAGATACTATAAGCAGTAGGTCTACTATATTTGGTATATGGAATGATTGTAAGGTGTACATGTCCAACTGGTAGGTGTCATCTGACCTTGACCTCATTTTCATGGTTCAGTGGTCAAAGTTAAGTTTTTGAGTTTTGGTCTTTTTTTCTAATACTATTTGCAATAGGTCAACTATAAATGGTGTATGGAAATATTTTATGATGTACATGTCAGTCTCACAGGTTTTATTTGACCTTGACATCATTTTCACGGCTTATTTCTCAGTGTTAAGTTTTTGTGTTATAGTCTGTTTTTCTTCAACTATAAGCAATAGATCAACTATATTTGATGTATGGAAGGATTGTAAGGTGTATATGTCTGTCTGGCAGGTATCATCTGACCTTGACCTCATTTTCATGGTTCATTGGTCAATGTTAAGTTTTCATGGTTAAGTTTGTTTCTTAGATACTATAAGCAATAAGTCAACTTTATTTAATGCCTAAATTGATTGTAAGGTGTACATGTCTGTCTGGCATGGTTCATCTGACCTTGACCTAATTTTCATGGTTCATTGGTCAATGTTAAGTTTTCTTATTTAAGACTGTTTCTTAGAAACAATAAGCAAAAGGTCAACTATGTTTGGTTTATTGAATGATTGTAAGGTGTACATGTATTTCTCGTTTGGTTTATCTGACCTTGACCTCATTTTCTTGGACCATGTTAAATTTATGTGTTACTTGTAGTAAAGCTTTGTATTTAGGACTATCAACATAAAATCAATGGTTAGTAAAGAAGGCGAGACATTTCAGCGTGTGCACTCTTGTTATTCCTTGCTAGGGAAAAACAAAGACTAAAAAATTTGTTTTTGCTGTTTCTCGGCCAAGCATTTGCCATTTAGGAGTAAGAGAAAGACTAGTCAACACAGGGTGCTATATCTTTCTGCAGACTGTTCAAAAGCGGTTCAAGTTCAAAACAGGGTAAATTTATATCAAATTGACATGTATATAGTGTGTATTGTAAGCATACAGTATTTGCTACTGAACACATAGTAGCCATCAATTTCTAGTGCTTTCTAAATGTACTGTATCTGCCATGGCAGTTTTTATATTGATGTAAACTAATTTGTAGAATGAACAGTAATTTCACATGTCTGTTGCATTCATTTATATCTACAGATAAAACATTCATCATGTGCTTTGCTTGCTATGTTCCACTGCTATAGTGTGACAATATAGTACTACTATCAAATGATGTGGATATAAGCAACAATAGGTCACAATACTGCCTTTAACAATGAGCAAAACCCATTTTGATGTTCATTTGAAGCAAGCTTAGTACGGAATGAAATGTAGGTTGAACTGATATAAACTGAAATCTGTACAAACCAAATACTTAACTTTTTTGTCTGGACATATACCAAATATTCTTAAATGGACCAATTTTGAGTTGTTCTTTATGAATGAGTTACACCGATTGACCATGAGTTAATCAAACTAAATAATGTCATCAATCAGTTCTTACTATGACATAATAACATATCATATTTTATATGGAAGCTGTCATTCGTGTCGTGCACTTGCACACAATATATTTTTATAAGATCCTACACCCTATTGAACTCAAGATGTATAAGAGTGCCAATTGTATTCATGTCTGTATTTGTTCTTTTATATCACAAACTAAAAACATCATTTAATTTGCATGCAGAAATGTAATAATATTGTCAGTGTTGGTCAATATTAACTACAAAAAGTTACAAATAGAAAGTTGTATATTGACAAATAAAAAGAATAAACAATTGCACATTGTTTTTATAGAAATACAGTGTAAATAAAGGTACAAAATGTAAAGGTAGTATTCTCTTGGACATTAATTAATATAATTTGAGAACATTCCATTTCTGAGATCACTTCACATCAACCATGATTTAAAAGTTTCATAAAGAATATAACGCATGAAAGGAGATTGAAAAAATAAAAGGAAAGGTTTTTCCCCCTTAGAAGTAGAAAACAAATTAAAATACTAGCATTAATTATTTTAAACAAAGTGCAAGGGTGTCAACTATTCAAATATCAGAAAGAAGCCTCCCAATGGTTTTTTTCAAAATTTTAGCAGTCCTACTTTAAAGAGGGATCTCCTGACAGGGATATTAACATTGGCGGATCCAGAAATTTTCATAAATGGGGGCCCGCTCCGGTCATGCTTCAGTGATTCTCTATATAATCAACCAAATTTTTCCCAGAAAAGGGGGGCACGGGCCCCCTGGCCCCCCCTCTAAATCTGCTTCTGATTAAATTTCCCGTTCCCCCCTGCCATCACCATTTACCCTTTTTTCTGGGAGAGCTCAATGGCGGATCCAGAAATTTTCATTAGTGGGGCCCACTGACTGCCTAAAACAATTGTTACATATTAAGTGAAAAAAAATAATATTATGCACGTCTTTATGTTCAACTATTCAAATTAAGAATTGTCTACTCATCAACTTGATGATATATCAAAATGTCCAGCTTTCTTGAGATTTTCATTTAAATCACAGATCTGTTGTAGAAATCCTTCATTTGGATCAATTTCTCTCTTAGCTCTGACTGTTCTCACTGCTTCTTTTGCTGTCATGTGACATTTTATCATAAGATATGCAAGAACCAACGTTGCTGATCTGCTTACTCCTTGCTTACAATTTACCATTACTTTTCCTGGAAGCAAAAATGACTTAAATTAATTTGTATTAAATTGAGTTTTCATTCTTAAACCTATATTATGCCTTAAATATTTCAAAAAGTTTGTGCCTTCAACTAAAAGCTTGAAGTTTGAGTTACAATGTGTGTAAACAGGTTCTGAAAATGTTAACAATACATTGTACAACCACTTAACTTTAGAGATTTCGCTTTGAACAGATTGTAACTTGTAAATTAAACTAAACTCTGTACAAGAAACTAGGTGTTAAAGAATGAGTGACCTATGGTTTAATTAAAAGATTAGAGATTCTCACTATAAATAATCTGTACGAGGAAATAATCTGAATTAATAAAAAAAAAATTCAATTAACTAAAGCTTTCACCAGGTATTAGTCCACTTTCTTGTTAGACTGGCAAGGTACCACAATATTGGTTTAACAGCTATAAACTATTATTCCATTCACTTGCCTGAAATTTCCAATTTTATAATTTCATTTGAGCTCTACTTATAAATTACAAACAATAACCGGTGTCTTCCTCCTATTCCCACTTTTTAAAAATCACTATTCCTTCTATTCCCACATGCATATAACAATAGATGTTTTGATAAATAATTTGTTTTTATAACAATCAAGGTTAATTAAGAATTCACCTAAGTTTTACCTGTATTTTTTTTAAAAGAAAACATATTTCTTACACTGTTTAAGTATATTATTTACAAAAAAATAATACACTGTTTGTTTGTAATATGTTTTTTCTTCTTCAAAGAATTACCTTAAAATAAATAATTATGTCAGATAAATAGAAGTAAGATTAAAAAATCATTGAATTTGTAAACCTAAAAAATTGTCATCCGAACACATAAATTGATGATAGTTGCTATTAAAACAAACTTTCCCATCTTGCAAGATTTCCATGTACTTGAATAGATTAATAAACTTTAAAAGACTTATATACATTGAATTTCTAATGTGTGTGCTACAATGTTTGATTTGTTTTAACGCTGTTTAATTTTTCAAGAACAGGTAGCTTTATGAGTGCTAAGAAAATTTTAGTTCGAAAAGCAAATAAAGCAATGTATGAAGTATTGAAAAAGGAGAGGTTGCACAACTTGTCAGTAAAAACTCAATATGATCTCTTTGATAAAATTGTGAAGCCAATCCTACTATATGGATGTGAGATTTGGGGTTTCAGTAATACTGATATTATAGAAAGAGTGCATTTAAAATTTTGTAAATTATCATTTAATCTTAAGAAGTCGACACCTAATTTTATGATTTATTGTGAACTTGGTATTTATCCCATGTCTTTATATATACAGCTGCATATGGTTAAGACTGGTAGATGGAATAAAATTGAACGTAACTATAGATATTGTAATATATGTCAATGCAACGAGATTGGTGATGAGTTTCATTACATTTTGCAGTGTAGCTCTTTGGCAAATTTTCGAGCTCAATTTTTGGACACTTTTTTCTTGCACAGAATTAATATACTATAGTTTGGAAAACTATTTCAGTTAAAATACAATTTATCTAAATTAAAAACACAGAATTCATACACATACAAATATAACCTATTATCTATACAAAAAAACACTTGTCAATTAAAAGTTGATTAAACAATGTTTATTCAGTATAATCCTTTGTTTGCACAAGTTTTCCCCCTATTCCCACATGAAATTTTAACTTTTCTTACCAGATTTATAAAAAGTGGGAATAGGAGGAATGAACCCAATAACCATATATGATAATTATACTTTACCTCCACTTTTTAATCCCTTTTCTATAAAATTGGCACCTTTCTCAAAATAAATGGAAAGGTCAAAGTTCATTTGGTCTGTAGCTTCTAATCCCATATACTCGATGTTAACTTTATGGTACATAACATCATTTGCATTCACATGGTACCTGGAATCCCCCTGTGCCACATTAAGCAGATAAGTTATTCCTAAATTTCTCAGGCCTACTCTGCTTAGTGCTATTGTACTGTGAAATAAAAAGTTACAAACTTTTTTCATTCGAAATAAACATAAAATATTCTAAAACCAGTTGTTGGCATGATGCAGATTATTTTCTTCTCATATATCTTTTATGATGGTATGATACTAAACCCCTAACAGGAGGGATTGTTATTAAATTTCATATGATGAAGACATAATCTTTCAAATCGGTTTAATTGAAGTCTAGAGCTGGCATGTCAGTTACTGCTAGTTAAGTCCTTTGTTAATTTATGTTGATCATTGTCATTTTGTTAGTTTCTTCTGTTACCTATTCTAACATTAGACTCAGACTTCTTTTAAACTGAGCTTTACTATATGTATTGCTGTGTGTTTGTTTATTCTATATTGGCTAGAGGTATAGGGGGAGAGTTGAGATCTCACAAAACATGTTGAACCCCATCACATTTTTGCTCCTGTCCCAAGTCAGGAACCTCTGGCCTTTGTTAGTCTTGTATGTTTTTTTACATTTTACATAAGTTTCCGAATTAAGTGTGATGTCCAATTTCTCTGAACTAGTACATAATGTATACATTTTTGTTTAGGGGCCATTTAAAGCCTGCCTCCAAGTGCTGCATTTTTTCGCTGTTTTGAAGACCTATTGGAGGCCATGAGCTGGTATCTGCTCTTTGGTCGAGTTGTTGTCTCTTTGACACATTCCCAATTTCCATTCTCAATTTTATTCAATGTTTTGACAATGAATAAAAATTTAACTCATCTATGAAGCTGCTAATATTAAAGATGTTTGAAAAAACTGACCACAAAAAAACATTATAGGCATCAACAAAACTTGAATCAGTAAACAAAATCAAGGATTTTTTCACCTTTAATTCAAAAAAAATCATATTGGCCTTTTTTTAAACATCTCTGTCAGAACTAAATATGGACCATATTGTATTGTTTGATGCTAATTAAATAACAGATGGTGTCACTTACAGTGGCCGATCCGGGGGTTGGAAGTTCAACTTCAACTTGGAACCCCTTTTTTTTGGAGAATCAATGCATTTGAATGGGGACATATAGTTGGACCCCCCCCCCCTTTGAAAATGGCTGGATCCGCCCCTGACTTACTTGAATGGCTTACCTAAATAAAACTTTTAAAATCATGACTGATGCATTAAATCACTACTACTGTGGATTCATTTATTTTCGTGGGTATCAATATTTATGGACTTTTTAAAACTCCCATTTTCTTGGATATTTGATTTTATGGTTTCTGAGATCTGCATACAAAGCCTATAGAAAATTTGTAATTTGTTAAACATTTGAATTTGTGGTTAACCTGTACTAATGAAATCCATGAAAAAATTGGTATCCAACAAATAATTATGAATCCTCAGTATTTTTCACTTACTCCTCTCCAAGATATAGATTTGGATATACTTCATCATAAGCAGTTGATGGTAACATTGTAAGTCCACCAGTTGGAGCAGTGATCACATTTTGAAGTTCATCAACTGTACATTTTTCTTCATCCATTTCAATTGTTTTGTCCCATAAGATCAATTGTAATAAGTCACATTATAAAACACTGCATAAGATAAAATAACATTTATTTTCAATAGAGGACCCATGACTGGCAATTCAGTACCACAATGAATAGATACATTATAAAACACTGCATAAGATAAAATAACATTTATTTTCAATAGAGGACCCATGACTGGCAATTCAGTACCACAATGAATAGATACATTATAAAACACTGCATAAGATAAAATAACATTTATTTTCAATAGAGGACCCATGACTGGCAATTCAGTACCACAATGAATAGATACATTATAAAACACTGCATAAGATAAAATAACATTTATTTTCAATAGAGGACCCATGACTGGCAATTCAGTACTGCAATGAATAGATACATTATAAAACACTGCATAAGATAAAATAACATTTATTTTCAATAGAGGACCCATGACTGGCAATTCAGTACCACAATGAATAGATACATTATAAAACACTGCATAAGATAAAATAACATTTATTTTCAATAGAGGACCCATGACTGGCAATTCAGTACTGCAATGAATAGATACATTATAAAACACTGCATAAGATAAAATAACATTTATTTTCAATAGAGGACCCATGACTAGCAATTCAGTACCACAATGAATAGATACATTATAAAACACTGCATAAGATAAAATAACATTTATTTTCAATAGAGGACCCATGACTGGCAATTCAGTACCACAATGAATAGATACATTATAAAACACTGCATAAGATAAAATAACATTTATTTTCAATAGAGGACCCATGACTAGCAATTCAGTACCACAATGAATAGATACATTATAAAACACTGCATAAGATAAAATAACATTTATTTTCAATAGAGGACCCATGACTGGCAATTCAGTACTGCAATGAATAGATACATTATAAAACACTGCATAAGATAAAATAACATTTATTTTCAATAGAGGACCCATGACTAGCAATTCAGTACCACAATGAATAGATACATTATAAAACACTGCATAAGATAAAATAACATTTATTTTCAATAGAGGACCCATGACTGGCAATTCAGTACCACAATGAATAGATACATTATAAAACACTGCATAAGATAAAATAACATTTATTTTCAATAGAGGACCCATGACTGGCAATTCAGTACTGCAATGAATAGATACATTATAAAACACTGCATAAGATAAAATAACATTTATTTTCAATAGAGGACCCATGACTGGCAATTCAGTACCACAATGAATAGATACATTATAAAACACTGCATAAGATAAAATAACATTTATTTTCAATAGAGGACCCATGACTGGCAATTCAGTACCACAATGAATAGATACATTATAAAACACTGCATAAGATAAAATAACATTTATTTTCAATAGAGGACCCATGACTGGCAATTCAGTACTGCAATGAATAGATACATAAACATACCATTTACAAAGTATAAATAAGACCCACTTTCAAAATAGAACCTTGGCTTAAATTGCATTAATTGTTAATTTGGTTTCATCCTGAATAAAGCAAAAACAATACTTTTTAAATCAATTAAATGAATCAAACTATCTTATCAAATCAAATATGACAATATACTTAATTCTTCAAAAAGTACATAATAATTGTCATGATTGTGATGGTGTTCAAAGTGTAAATTGATATATATTGTAAACTTTTTATACTTATGTTTATATAATTATGGAATAATGGGTCTAAATATGTTGCTTTAAATTTTTTCAGTTATATATGTAGCTAGAAAATTACTGATTAGTGTTGTGTTTGTTTTATTTCTTGAAAGTATTTCATAGAGGATGTTAATGGATGGCTGCTTAGCATCCACATTTCATAGATGGTGTGCCTCATATGCATATCATAGTCTTAATAGTTTACACTGGGAAATGTATAACTAAAAGTAAAAAGTGAGAGCTGTGGTGTAATGGTTAGCACATCAGACTACAAACACAAAGGGTTCCTGGTTCGAACCGAGTTCCAAGGAGAAAATTTCAGTGACTGAATTTTCAGCTCTCCCTTGTCACCATTTGCGAGTATGGTCTTGAGAAACAGTCCGTTGGAAGGGGACGATAAATGGCTGACCCTTGTTAAGAGATATATACATATATGTTAAAGAGCAATATCTCTTGGGTCTTGCACGTACAAGACACCCTTGTTGATTTCAAAAAAGAGCAGGCTAATGCCGCTACAAGGCAGCATTCCCACCAGCAAAGTGGAAAGGGATTAATACAAGTCGTAATAACTTGTTTCCCAATCCACTATAAATAAGTATGTTTAAACTAACTAATAGTAAATTATATATAATGTCCCATGTCTACATTCACAGTCACAGCTACGTTTAACTTAAGTCATTGTTACAGATATATCTTATACGGTTTTACAGCTACATGTATGTATACTGACCTCTCAATTTCGATATTTTCTTGTATAGTCTGTAGTATTAAGTAAGAATTTGTGGAAATGGAAACTAACCAAAACCAACAAAACGAAAGTGAAACCGGAAACGACAACTAAATATGCTTCGGAGACGGACTACTGAAATATTCCGTAAAGAAGAAATCTGTTAAAACAAGGCGATTTTGTCACAAAAATCGTCATGGTCCTCTAAATTGTCATCCCTTAAGTTATAATTTCAATGGCAGAACAAAATGTTTTATATGAGGGTCTGGTTGGGTTTACGGATTGGGAGAACTATTAAATGACCAAAATATTATAAATAGAGCAAAATGTCATTTTGAAGAAAAAACAGAGACGCAACAGAGAATAATGAGGTATAATACTATAAGGAATAACTGTGGAAAATAAAATAATAAGGTAATAAAATACTGATTACAGTAATGAAGGATGTACAGAATAAAGAAATTGTACAATTTGAGAAAATCTGGCAAACACAAATCATTTTCAGGAGATTCTTGCAGAAATGGCGTAATTTTTTAAGAAAAAGAAAAAAATTCCATAAAATTTAAAGAATATAGAAATTGTGGACACCAATCAGACCCTCTGTGATAATAGTACATTTATTGACCTCCTTCGAGTATAAGTAAATGATCATTTTTATTTACAGTTTCCTCAACTGATAAATCTTAAAAACGATATTTTTTTTCAAAACATCTAGCTGTTACCTCTATAAAATGTGACATCTACATCAAGGAAAATCATGGGCTTGCTTGTGTTAGCAGTGTTATATGTCATAATATAAGAAGACGGATTGAAAAAATGTATCGCCACTATTGCTTGTTTTATTTAGAAGTTAAGCATTGGAAAAATACTGAAACCAAGTTGAATTTGAATATCAAAGACGGCCTATATTTCGCCATCTTCGCTAGCCAAGGGTTACGATCCACGTGGAGAGGAGGGGAGTGGATCGTAACACTTGGCTAGCGAAGATGATATTTCGCAGATTTTCAGCTATACGTAAAATAAAACAAAAGAGAGACCTATATTTCACGCTTCATTGGCTTTGAATAAGTTTAAAATGGGTTTGTATATCAGTAATTACCAGCAATAGGATAATTTAAAACTAGTGAAAATATGCATGTTGCCGGGTGTGGAATATAAAGTGGCAGCATCAATACAAAAATATTTCATCAACGAATTGATAAATTTCATGCTTCATTGACTTTAGTTAAGTGTTTACGTCTGAGTTCACATCTCGGTTTCTCATTTCCATTCATAGTTTTTGTTTGGTTGAGTAAATATAGCTCATTCTTTATTTGTCGGTTTCGTGTTAAGTGGTGTACCTCGTCTTTCTTCGACCAAAAGATTTTTCAGTGACCATGTGTATCTGATTATCTTACATGTAACATGAAGCTTTACAACTTATGGGTATTTTATGTGGGCGTAATCTATGATAACTTCTGGACACCAGGCGACCATAGTTTCATGTTGTTATATCGTTGTATAAGCATCTATCATGGAAAATCAGAATGTTCACACTCCAAACAGATTGTGGCTAACGATTTTTTATCCTTCACTGGAGCAGATTTTAGATTTACTTGTGGGACAATTTAGTTCACTATTATTGAACATAGAGGGGCGAGTTACTTTGTTATGGTAGTTTCCTGGTGTTGATTATGTGATTTTTTATCATATGTGTCCATTTTCGAAAAGATTCGACATATATGTTTAGATCTGTCGTGAATAATCAACTCTTCTACTCTTCTTTTTAAGAAAACCAATCTTGCGTTTTATTCATCTATCGTGTATCTAATTTTTATAATGATGGGTAAATATTATCAACATCGCTTTATATATATAGCTACCATCCCAATGAGGTTAAAATGTAAGACCCTAAATTATCAGGTTGCTTTGTACGATATCACTTAACTTTATAACAAACTGTGGGGATTTGGTAACAATCCTGTCGGGGACAATTCCTTGTGCGGGCTGTTATGCACTTTCACACTCTGTGTATAGTATATGTGATGACACAATCTTAACGATAGACTGTCAGTCAGGGTTTTATGCCTGAATGATCATCACTTCAAAAGTTAATGATCGTCGTTCTCGTCATTAATATGCATGATATATTTACCACTGGAAGTTGAACTACTAACAACTTAATCATTATTTGGTTGAATAAAATTGTGATTGGTTGTTGGTGTATGACACCACTTTCAGCACACATGTGGTTATGTCATGTTAGTTTTTTTTGTGAGTGAGGAATGCGTAGTATATAATTATGTTAATGTATTTAAGTAAATATAAATGTATGCTTAGCAGTGAAAATTCCAAATAGTTTCTGTTCATTTTGATGAAATCTTTTTGGACTGGCGACGATTTTGATATTACTGTATATTGTTGAATATGAAAAATAAGGAGATTTATTATGATTACCGATGAGACAACAATCCATAGAGACCAAATGAGGTAGATGTTAGTAAATCAAGATCACATTAAGATAACCTCCATGTTTTTATGGTAATTTGTGTCGTCGGGTTGCTGTCTGATTATCGTAAGCCCTACATATCCTTTTGTTTGTATCCATTTTAGTTCCATTTCTCCAAGAGATTTTCACAATTCTGATTTCAAAGAGTGGTTGAAACTACAGTGTGGGATGTCAACAACGTAAAGCTTTTAAGTGTTGTAGACCCCAACTGAACTAAAGTTAGTGTAAAGATTTCGATGTAGTGTAGGTTGGTTTTGAGTAAATTAACATGAGATGTTATTTGCAGTAGTGGACTGTTAAGTAGCATTATCCACGAAGAATACACAGTGCAAACTCAAGATCTTAAAATTATACCTAAACAAAATACGATTTTCAGTTTCATATTTATTCATTTCACACAGTATTATCAAATCATTAACAATAAGCAATAACATTAACAAACAGTAGCACTAGATTAATAGTTTGATAGTCACTTTGTAGTTTATAACATTTTCTGCATAGCACGGCGACGTTTCTGACGTGCAATCTCTGTCAATGTACGTGTGTTGTTACTGCGGTTCCTCTTGTTGGCGAACCACTTCTTTACTTGCTCGACTGTAACATTACCCTGCACTGCTATGTGATCAATGACGGTTCCTGATGGGTATGGATGTTCAAGATGATTTTCGTACCAGTCTTCCATTACCCGGATGGCTTTCTTTGATAGTTGTGGTCGTGGTTTGATAATGGATGGTTGTTGCCGGACGGCAGTTGTAGACTCCTCCAGAAGTGTCAGACTCTTCTCTACTCTTTCCATGATTTGATGTAACTGTGTATCGAAGTATCTGTTGAGTGATCTTTGGTAGTCAGCATAATACGGCTGCTGATGCAGAGTGCGAAATCTGTCGGTTTCTACGATGGCTGCTTGGTAACGATAAAAGTTTGAAAGTTGTTTGACGTCTTGTGGAAATCTTGGCTCCAACTTGCTGAACCTTGACTGAAGTAATTGTTCTCTGTAGAATACATCTGGCTGTGGTTGGGTTGTCATGGTCAACATCAGCGAATCTGGCATTGAGTTTGTTGTAGACTTACATTCTTTAGCGAGTACATACTGCAAATCGCCGAAGAATGGATTGCTTGCAAGCGGGCTGTCTGGTGGTGGTGATCCCAGTAGACCAGATAGTGAGTCGTTGAATCTGCTGTCGCCATTCGGACTGAAGTATGAAGGTGTCGTCTGAATTGGTGATGGTCGACGCTTGTTTGTTGGTGTAACCATAGCTGAAGTTGACTGATACTGACATGACTTGTGGTACGCATAGTTGCTTGATAGTTCATGATTGTTATGTGCAGGCGGCGGAACTTCAGTAGACTGATACTGGCAGGATGATTCTGAAACATCTAGATGCTGATCTGTATTGCTGGTGACATTGGTACCAAGGTATTGATCAAGACAACAGCTATCATTATCACTGCTGATGTCATGGATGGTGGCAGCCACAACATCTGACAGTGTAGTTGTTGGTGTCAGAGTCAGAATATCTTGGTCGTAGATGGCAGCACTGGTAGTTGAGTTTTCCATATCAAATTTTGAGAACTTTCTTTCACAAATGGAAGACATTGAGTAAAAGATGACATGATGGCAATGAGCAATGACAGGGTATTTATTTGAGATGTTCCTGTCAGCTTGGGGTTTGTTCAGTGTTTCTATTGGCTAATCAAAAGTAACGTGATTGCTCAGATTGAACAATCTCATTTCATTGGTTTGTAATAAGTGAAGACTAAGAATCTTGTCAAAAATTAATCAAACAATTATAATTAATCAAATTTGATTGGCTCTAAAGAAAAAAAAACAAAAGTGAACTTTTAAATCTTTTGCGGGCGCTTCAAAAAAAAATGTAGTTGTAACAAAACTGTCAGACAAAAAAAGGAAAAATGACTTTTTCATAAAATAGTCATATATAAAAAATTGAGTTTATCAAACGCTATAATCCTTTAATAGTGAAAAATAAACGGGAAGGTGGTAAATAAAATAGTGATAACAATTTAAACAAAACAGAAAACATATCGAATGAAGTAAGATAAAAATGACTTGGATATTACAAATAAATTAATGGAACACTACTTTTTTTGTTGTTCTTCATTTCTGCCATTTTCTAGAAGCTAAAAGCTTTTAGGAGAGTCAAAACTTTCTCTAGCGTATACTTTTGCTACCTGAAATATTTATTACAAGCATGTGTTTAATATAAAACTCTGTTTGGAAAGTTTCAATGCCGAGACTTCAGACCATAATACTTGTGTATTAGATAATAGAAAATCAATAAAAATGGAATGTTTATTGTGCAATGATAAAATAAAATCAGAGGAAAAAAATGATGAAATTGGGACTGCACTATCCGAATAATCATGACGGTTTTACATTGTATTTTTTGTTATATTTCTGGGATAACTGATTCGGAAAAGTTCAATTATAAAACTGACTGGGCAATAGTAAAAAATAGTATAGAATATAAGTTGAGATAAATTATCATGTGATTTTGGTGGGTTTTCCTGAAATGACATATTTGTATTGGCTTCATTTGGACTTATACTTCTCATGGCTTATGATTTATTGTAATACATGAATTTATATTTTCCATATCAATATAAAGTTTTTATATGGGTTTATTTTTTGTTTTATTCAAATTATATAATTGTTTGCTTATACATTGCAATCATTGAATACATTTTATTGGGAATATTTAACTATTAATTTATTTTTATTTTTTGTCAAGCTTGTTTTTCAGAGGGAATACTCTTTCTTTCATGTTGAGTGTGTCCTTTTAATTACCAATCCAATTAAGATTTTGAGCAAATAGTTGATTAATCTTCAAAATTTCAATTACTCCAATCAGGTTGTTTGGCTTGGGAGATCATTTCAATTTATTTTTCACACAAAATATACATGGCTTCCACTGAGATGCAATTAAGTTATTAAGGCACTAATCAAATCACCCAAATTGACTTTCACAAATCTAGCTCATTTAATTTCAAACTTTTTTTTGGCAAAAAATCAAAAGGACTAGCAAAAAGATTTACAGATCTCTCAAAATGACCATTAGACATTTGCCTATTGTTTTAAACCGTATGTTGACCATTTGAGGATATATTTTTTTCGATGTTGGGCTGCTTTTTCATTGACGTACTGTACCTCACATCATCTTTCTAGCAATAATAAATTCAACTACATTTACGTATTAATATTGTACATTTGCTTATGCCTCCAAAAGAAGTAGTATGATTTGAATATATTTCACTTTTGTTCGTTGATTTATTATCTATAAAATTTGTTTTTAAATTTTCTACTCTGAATAAAATATTAAATGTTGTTAGATTTCGATAAACTATTTCTCGAAACTATTTGATCCTAATTCATTTACACGACGTATTCTGTTTTCTTGGCAGCTTGTTAGTTTTAGCGTTCTGGGGTTCTTACGCGTATGGAACATAGTATAATAGTTTAAGAAACTCATTGGAAACATTGCACTTGAACAGTTTATTGTAATATTCATAATAACACAAGTTATATGTTTGTTTTTTTTCTCTCTCTCTCTCATTATTTTTTTTCTATCAGGGCGTATACTGTTTGTTTCATATTCAGTGCTTTGTTTTGATTTTCAATCTAATTAGGGGTTTAAAAACAGTTGATTAATCTACAAGTTTGGCTTGGAAGATCATTTCAAAATTTTATTTTCTCACAAAACACATGGCTTCTATTGAGATGTCATTAAGTCACTAATCTAATCAATCAATTCAATTGTCAAAACTTGATAGACGAATACACTTTTATATCCATCCAATAAAGATTTTATACATTTAATTTCAAAATAAATAAAAAAGAATTGGTATCTGACAAATAATTGTTCAAATCCCGTCAAGAGGAACTAGACACATATCTATTGTTGAAGAACATATATTGACATACAAATGTGTGTGTTGCCCTAACTGTCTCTTTGAATTCTAGCGTCTCCCCAAAAAGAGGCAGGATCGTGATTTTGAGTATTTTAATCATCAATAGGGTTAATTTCAGAAAACGCTTGATTCTTTTTTTTTTACTATAACTAGTATTACAATTTCATGTAGTTACGTTGAGATTCTGACAATACTGAAACATTTTTATCTAATTGAATATGTTAACTTCTGGAATAACCGTTTAAAATCAAACTATGGTAGTTGGGGTGTCTTCCTCCATCTTGGATTCAGTTGAAATGGCAGATAACCAGCGGTCTAGATCTTTAATGAAATGTGCAAATTTCGAGAGTAGTATGTAATTCATGTGTAAGACTTTTCATGTTAATTTAGAAAATCATGTGTTTTATCATATTTACGGCTGTATATTACAATACAAAAAAGGATATTTTTGTTTGATTCATTTTGTTCAACTTTGTCACATAAGGGTAGATAACTCAGATATAAGGTGAGATAACTCAGATAAAGTAACTTTTATAATAGATCATAATAGAGTGTGTTGTGAATTTACCTATTTTATTATGTAGCAAGAAAACGAGTTTGGTGACCCCATTTTTTCTGTTTCTTATCTGAAAGCATATTATTAGAGCTATCTTCTCATATCTATGGTGTCGTTTTCTTTTTATCACACAAAATTGGGTTTTCTAATCCATGCATAATCTATATAAAATCTGACAATTTTGCACAACTTGTAGCGTGAAAAAAAGCCTGGTGACCCATACTTTTTATTATATTTTTGAACAAAGCATGATATAAACTACATTTTGACAAATTATTAAAAAATTCTATGGATTAATATATTAGTCCCCCATCTACCTTAAACTGACTTTTATTGTACGCTCTTTTTCAGGGCGTTGATTTTTAATCTGATTGAGATAAAAAAGAGCGAGACTTGAGTACTCAAAAGCTCGTAAAGGTTTCCGCGTAAATATGTCTTGGCTGCAATTGTTGCCGTCAGCGTAAAAGTGTAATGTTGACCGCAAAAAAACTAGGTTCGTTAATTTCAGCAAAAACACAGACTGTAAGTTCCATAAAATTCTAAGAGGTTTTACAAAGTTAACGATGTATAAAAAAACCCAGAATGTAATCTAAATCTTATCTGCAAAAAAAAAATAAATAAAAAAATACTAAAGTCCTTTAATCAGTGAAATGCGGGAAATCAATAAAAAATCAGAATTCTGCTATGGATACTGTCTTTTGATCCTAAAAAGCTTATGTCTAGTCTCATAAAATTCCATGAATGTTTAACAAAGTAACAATAATTGATCACGGTCTAAAAAACTTTAAACCAGACTGAACCTAATTATAACGACGCCACCGACCCTGTAGGATCCCTATGTCTCACAGGCTTGACAAAAATACAGTTTAAAACATGAAATTAATGTTTAATTTTTCTGTTCTATATTATATGCTGATCCTTTAAAGGCGGCTTAACATATCTGTCAAATTTGGTTGCACCAGCCGTTCTTGAGAAGTTTTTCTACGGTCTGCAAATCAAAATGCAAAAAAATGACTTGGTGGTCATATTTGTATATGAATCGGCACCAAAGTAACAGCACTCGGTAAGGATATTGTAAGAGGTTATCACTAACAAGTTTATTATGATTCTGTTCAGTGGAAGCGGAATATACCAAAAGAATAGTCAAACTCATTGTTGGGCATTGATAATTTCACTTTTCGCTAAAATGGGTTAACCATCTGGCGCCAAAATTGGTTATATACCTTTCCGCTAAACCGTCCGATTTTTTTTCGCTTAAATGTCCTATCAGTGCGCTAAAATGTCCTCCGCCCACTTGACATGACTGTCTGAACTTATTCAGATCATTTATAGCGCCTGCATATGGAGTGTATATCTTCCAGTTGATAAGATATTCTAGAGCTTGTATTTCCTATCATGATTTCCTTGATAGAGCTCGAGGTTTGCTGATAAGGGCGATAACAAGAACGCTATTAAACCATTAGTTCCATGTGGTGATTTCGAAAATTTTACAGACACCATCACGAGTTGGTTGACCGTTATGGAATATCTGTTTCACAGAAGAAGACGGCTAGTTCCAATTTTCGTAACCAAAATCCCGTTATTTTTTCCTAAAATGTGACCTACCGAATTAGACTTATCACCGGGTTTGTACTTACACGAGAAACAATACGGGTGCCACATGCGGAGCAGGATCTGCTTACCCTCCCGGAGCACCTGAGATCACCCCCGGTTTTTGGTGTAACCATAATAATACTTGTTATAGTACATTTATATAAAGATACTTCATTTTCAAAAGAAATGATATTTTTTACATTTTCATTTCCTTTTATCAATAAGGCAAATATTTTAATATACAGCGAATGGAGGAAACAGAGCATGAATTACATCTACATAAAAATATGTTTTTCCTGTTGTAAAATTTCATTTCAGGTATGTCTGTCCAGTAGAAAATAGCAAATTGTGCAAGATGTTCTAGTATTTTTTATCATAGCGTTGCCAAAAGTCCAAAAGAAGTCCCATGCATACGTTTTGTCCATATAGACTGTTTAAATGTATTGTCATCAATGTTATACAATTATGAAGTTCACTACTAC